AAAACAATTAGTCCCTTTGATAAATTTGAACAAGGCATTAAGAAGACAAATTTCGCGAGATGATATCATTTCGTAGTTTCTTTACAACCGCTTTACAACTAACATGGTTAACAATGATAAAATAAAGTTCATGAAAATTACTCAGTTAAATAAAAACAAAAGTACATACTAATGACCAATCATATTAAGATAGGTCATGCAGTCCAGGGTAGGCGAAGATTGAAGTCTATTGATTTTTGTACACACAGTTTAGGCTGTATGTGATTAATCCAAAGTGCTTCCATCACCTTCAATAACCTTGAATTAGAGTTATGTGAAATAATTGTGAAACAGTCATTAATATTTATTTTGTGACCAGACATTAATAAGTGTTTTGCAATGGATGATGCTGGATTTCTATTAAGATTAATCGCGTTAGGATTTTCGATATGATAATAATGTAATAACGCCGAACCTCACTCAGTTCATCACTTTCGACTTTCCAGATACAATGTGTGAGTGGTGATTGCTATTCAGCGGATATAATGGTGGGGACATATGAGAACCACACTTATCTGTGGGACAGCACTGTATTGCTAAGGTTCCTGAGTTTGAATGGCTTCTGCAAAATAAGAGAATAAATAAAAAATAATCGAAGTTGAAAATTGCCTAAAAGCCGAAGTTTAAATACGAACTCCCCGAATGCAAGTGCATGGTATGAATCTGCTACTTGAGAAGGACACCTATTTGTATGCTTCAGAAAAACAGTAGATATTATTTAGCCCTCCCTTTTCTTCTACATAGTTCACGCACTTTGACTTTTGTATTCAAGCATTGGTTTTGTAGGGATTTTGTTTGATTGTATTTAACTCCATTTCAAGTAGGTTATAAGTAAGTTATCAACTTTTTCACTTAAACTAATTGTTCACAAGAAAGACTGTAGAATTCCATTACAAAAACCTATCGGGGAAATAATATCTTTTAAAAAACAATAAAAAAATGATGAACTCCATGTTTGTTATATATTTTGAATTTATTAACTCTAATTATATACGTCTGTATCTCTCTGGCGGTTTTCTTGTGTCTTTTCTTTTCGAAGGTACTGCCTTCAACGAAGACACTGATACAGTGCTGCTATCGTCGGCTTATTCGGAATATTGCTAGCTCACATGGTGAATAACGGAACCACTTCTATCATGAAATCTACTGATAACTTCAAAGTTGGTCTTAAATACAACTGGGAAGGTTACAATTATAGTGTACTTACCGGTGACTTTGAAATTTTATAGACTTTCGAAAACTTTATGAATCATTCACTTAAAATTATTGTTCATTCTGCATCTCTGATGTTTCACGTCAGCACCTATACTAAAATGCTACTTACATCCCACTGTTCACGTAATCATTTATAATTTCCTCGTGAAATTGACATACCGTATTTTTTTTTTCAATTACCGTTTAGATTTGACGCTATATCTCATGACTTATTCGGTCGAAAACATTTATTTCCCGATACGAATTTAAAACAAGCAATAAAGGTTAATAAGGCAGGATTTAATGAATTCATCAAATTTCGGTAGAACTCGTCAGCTGAATACTCTACATGCACAGATATATATACTTTTGAAATTACATTGGGAGATATAAGACTGATAAGTAAACAAAATACATTGAATTATTCATGCAGAAAGACACTTGCGAATGTTTTCCAGATCATGTTCAAATAGATAAGGGAGAGAGAGTATGAGAGATCAAAATTAAGATGAATTGCATTACACTTCAATTACACATCACGTAGATAAACAATTAGTCATCAGAGAATATAACACGAATTGCAAACAGAGTAATATCAATAGTAACAGTTATAATAACAATAATAATAATAATAATGTTGAAGTGAGTTAAGATAACCCTATTGATAAAGGATAGTTTTAAATAAATCAAGAATAATAATAATGGTAATAATAATAACAATAATAGTAAGAAGAAGAGGTAGAATAATAACAAGTAGAGAATAAAACGTATTACCATGGTAGTTTCAGAGTGACAACCATCTTCTTTTGTACACAGAGACCTGGTTTATAAACTCGAATTACACAAGCATCCTCCTCAATTGCAAGCATCTTCTTGTTTCTATGTCTGCTGACAATGTGAATGACTTGATAGCGTCGATATCATGTCCGTAATCCACAAGATGTTTTGTTATTGAGGATTTTGGCACTTCACACTCAGCTGTTTTCAACCATTTTGGCAAATGCTCCATCATGCGAGTAGACAATCGCCTTTCCGTACGACCTATATATTTGCTGCCACAAACACACTAAAATTGATATGTGCAGTTTGAAGTGTCGAGGATTGGCGACTGGTCTTTCCCAGATTGTTGAAGCACTCGCTTGGTGGTGTTAAGGATAACAAGTTTTGCAGCATAATAAGTTCTCTTGATGGCTTTGTCGAGTCTTCGTTTCACTACTTCCTGTACGTCATCTCCTTTGAACGGCAAACTGATATAGACAGGTTTCTTTGGAAATGTTTGGATTGTTTTGCAGGGGTTAGTTTCTTTAGAGTATTTATTAATGAACTTCTCAGGATATCCATTCTTAGATAAAATATCCTTCAGAGATTTTATTTCCTGTTCAATAGTACTGTTAGAACAAATTTTTCGTGCTCTATTGAACAGTGTTCTGACTAGGTTCTTTTTGTACTGGATTGGAACAAAGCTCTTGAAATGCATGTACTGTCCTGTCCATGAAGACTTTCTAAATATAGATCTTTCGATTGTGCCATCATTCATTTTCGCCAGAAAAACTCCTAGAAATTCATAGTATCGTTTTCCTCGTGTTCTACTGTGAAATTGAGATTTGGATGGCATGAATTGAATTTTATCAATATGTCTTCCGCTTTTGATCTGCTTTCACAGACAATAAAAATATCATCAACATATCTTAGGTATACATCCGTTTCTTGTATATGTTGCTGCAAAGCACCGGTTTCTAGGCGTGACAAGAATAAGTTGGTCGAAAGCAGATTTCAAAAATTATCTATTTCCTTATTTGTACATTTCTTTTTAAATGTTTCGCTTATATTAATCAGTGTTCAATCTATTTCTAAATTAACAAATCATATTATATATTCTATAAGTTCTAATTAGTGTACATATGTTCATGCCTGTAAAAATGGCTGGTGTCTGTTCCAGGAATTATTGTTATTATTACTATCTGGTGTAGTTTAATAGGTCAGAATAAAATGAATGACTCTCGGAAGATTCGTTTTTCTAGAACTACAAAATAATTTTTCAGAAAGACAGAAATTAGATTTCTATAAGAAAGTGAATCATTCAAAATGGCAGAAATATGATCTATCTACTGTTCCAAGCATTTCAACTTGACTAGTCACAGATTCGTTTCTTTGCTATTCACATCATACCTTATGCAGTTAAATTTGTTTCTTTTTGTGTTCCTTAGACCTTCCAAATGGAACACAGGTCTTCAAGCTAGGGCTTTGAAGTTTCAGTAGCACAGTGGTGTTTATATTTACGAGGTATTAAGGGGGGGGTGGCTGTTAGTGTCATACCCTCCCTTACTTCATTACCGGTCTTGCCACCGTCTAAGACAAGACTAGAAGTGCTTTGATCAAAGACCAAACAGTGGATCAAGTGTGTGGTTGGTAAACGTCCTACGGATTACCCACTGACGCATCGTTTAATTCATGGTCAGCATTACATATATGCAAAGTCAATCTTGATGGTGAAACTTTCTGCTTTAAGATGTAAATATCTGCATGTTTTTTGAGTATACATTTCTTACAGCGAAGCATTTATCGAGTGCTGCTAAATTAGTAGCCCCTACATCTTATTGTCTTCAAGAGTTTGTTTGACTAGTTACAGGACTGACCACACACTGACATCCGTTAGGGAACCATTGAAAAGCCAGAGAGTACTGGACAGCTATTTCATCCTAGTTTGGGACTCTTCGTCATTACGCATCTACTGGTATTCGAACTTAAGACTTTCCGATCTCGAGGCGAGCTCGTAGAGAATTCAGCCACCTGAACAGTTGGGTTAGTTGCGTATGCCTGTATAGTCCCGAAATAGGACAAAACAGCTGTCTAGAATTCTCCGGTTTTCTAATGGTTCTCTAACTAATGTCAGCTTGTGGTCAACCCTGGTAATTAATCTGATTCTAGCTAGTTACTGGCTATAGTACGAAGTTGCTTGGAGTTCCAGTGGAAAGTCGTGATTAGTGCGGTCATCCTTGTCGGGAGTGAGGACAAATGCTCATCACCTGTGACAATAGCTGGTGGTAGGCCACACTGAAATCACGAAGTAGTTGGTAGAAGTCATAATTCTGAGCCAGGTCCAAGTGACTGATGGATTTACGAGCTTCCCCTGTCACCGGAACGTCATGGCTTCAAAATCCGGTAGGTACAAGCTGAGGATGAGTCTCAAACTGAGGTGAAACAATTATCCAGAACTGGTTTTAAATGTTTCTCTAACTGATATCAGTTCATTGATTAAACTTGAAACAGACCTTTCTATCTGTTGATTCAACCGCGCTATGTCGTGAATTGGCAGAAGTTAGAATTCACGGGCTAGTCATTGGATCGGATCCCAGTGGCTTAATGGTCTACGAGCTAGCTCGCCTTGTAACCAGAAGGTCCTGGGTTCGAACCGTGGCAGTGGGTGCGTACTGCTGAAGAGTCCCAAGCACTAGGCTGAAACAGCTATCCAGTACTCGCAGCAGGTTTTCTAATGGTTCTACAACTAATGTAAGCTCATGATGAAATCCTGTAAGCCAATCAAATCCCTACAAACCAACACTTAAAATTAAAAAAATCGAATTTTTAAATAAGCCACTGCATTACAGCTACTTGATGCTTAGAATCATTATTTTAAGGTCAATACCTGATAAATCAATAGTCACGTGATGTGATACTAAGATAAAACAAACGAGAAATAAGTTATTTTTGGCATAATATTTATCAGACGGTGAGTTGAAGTTGAGTAAATAAATGCTTGTCAAGTGATGAGTGATTTGATATTATTCCGTCGACCTAGGAGAGCTGTCGACACAGCATCACCAGATCATTGTCGTATCTATAGAAGTGAGAAACTGACAGTTACCTCCAATAGAAAGTATCCCTCTCTGAAGGGAAATCAAAATACTGCAAGATATATCAATATCTCAACTATGAATACTAAACCATCGTCTTTCATGAATCCATATAAATACTGGAGTCATAGAAGTTCTAAACGCCCTATAGACAATGTCTACAATCCATTATCTCTGAAAGGAAATATACTCAATAAAGACGATTGTTATAATAATGATGATATTCAGTGTCCAATAGAAACATGTAATCAATTACACGTATCTAAGCATACACAACGTGCTCATGACTTTGAATGTTTGAAATCTGATCCAGTAGATGCATCAACAACAACAACAACAACAGAAATTGACTTCACCGATATTTTACAAAAAATTCCTCCACCAATGAAACGAACACCATTGTATCATGACTTAATAAAGATTGCTCGTGAATTAAGAAATGTCCTTCTACCGACTTTCGAGGCTGATATTACATGTTCAATTAAAAAACTTCCTAAGAATTATCAAGAATCTTCTGTGGGACATCAAAATAATTATGCAATTATTTTGAAAGAGAAATTAACCGACAATGAGATTATTTTATCTGAGTAGGTTTCAGTTATAAAAACAAAACAAAATAACGAAAGTTGTAAATTTATTTAATAAAGTTTACCTAGATTAACTGCAAGGAAGTTAATGAAATTTCAGAAGAACCTGAAATCCAGCGACATTTCTCAAAGTAAGTTAATTAGTAATTGATTATAATAAAGGTTTTTTGTATTTCCCAAAGAATGAATGAAAAACAAAACGATATTGTCGTTGTTTTTATTGACGTTTCGCTATTTAATGCTGCTGCCAATAGCGTTGTCAAAGCGGTAGTATTAAACCAGAATTTACAAAATCTCCTCAGCTTATACATAACAACCTAATCATCGTTCCTCAGCATGGGGGCGTTTTTGCGTTGTCAAGTTGGGCAGTTGGTAAAGATAACAAAACCAGGTGTAGATTGTTGAGTTTGATAAGTGTGTAAAATTATAAAAGCAGAGTGTGTTTACATAATGAACTTGCTTATCACATTCGTGTTGATTTTGTCATTTCAAGGGTGGTGAGGCGGAGTGTTGTAGCTAGATGAAATTCTGCTTTAGTCCATCATTCCTATTCAGAAAATTTCGATTCCCTTTGATGATATGAAGTGCTTCTGATGATATTAAACGTTTCTGTGATTGCTGAATTACTTTTCTGGATTATTTCAACATTGATTCCGGATTTTCAACTCCTATGTGAAGTCAGTGCTACTCACTGTACGGACCAGAGACTTGGCGTGTCATAAAGAGCATCTCAAACAAACTACAGACCTTCATTAACAGTTGTCTTCTCTCAATACTTAAGATCAGATGGCTGGTCAGAAAAGATCAGTAACAGGAATGGATCTCTGGCAATGAGTGAACCAACCAGGAACTGATTGTGAAACAAATAGGCAGGAAGTGATGGAGGTGGATCGGCTGGCCATACTCTGAGGAAACTATCAAGTGACATCACTAGACAGGCCAGTGCTCGAGTGAAACCCGACTGAATGGGAAGCGGCGAGTTGGTCGTCAGTGCAAGGGTGACTTGGAGGAGGTTATGTGAAGAGGAGATGAAAGCATGTGGGGGGACTTGGAGCGGGATGAAAAAGTTGGCAGAAAACCGAATGCAATGGAGACGCGCGAGTGAAGCCCTATGTTCCTCTAGGAATTAAAAGATATAATAATGATAACAATAATAATAATTTCAACATTGTCAAAATCAATTTTGTGGCCTGATTCTATACTGTGGCGTGTAGAACTATGGCTGAGACTTTTCAAGTTTTTCTAGTTCAACTGGATTTCTCGGTGGTCAAATAGATGCTCTACGGTGCGCATTTATTCTGATTACCTTGATTTGTCTCCAGCTATGTCTGTCCAATGTATATCATACCACATTCCAAGCATTTTATTTTGTAGACACAATTAGATAGAGAATCTTTAAGGATTTTGTCTTTTATATGGACACGGTTGTTTTGCAATGAATCTGATGTTTTAAATAGAACTCTGGTGTTGAACTGATTGAGTAACCTTCTGATATTGTCTGACGTCTCTGTTCTATATGGAATGATGACTGTTGATGTCCATGTTTTCGGAATGCGTTTTCGGCCATACTTAATGTCTGTGTTGATTTTATTGATGAAGTTCCTTGGAGAGTTGTTTTACTTGAGAGTTTCAGTAGTGTTTGATATTTCTTCTTCTTCTTTTTCTTTCTCATCCGTTAACATCAAAGAGTGTGCCCATCTAAGAAGACTTGAAACAACTGATACCTTTGTTAAAAGATCAAATAAAGCTGAATTAAGTTGAATTATACTCATAGATTCAAAAGTTTTAAAACTTGGCAGTTACGTAATTATTACTTGACCTTTGAAATTAACTGATTTATATGTAGGAAATATCCATTCAGACATTTAGAAAAGACAAGAAATTGAGCAAAGAATATCCAATTCGATAATTTCCTCTTCTGGCTCTACAATTATATTATATGTCTATATGTAACGACAGAAAACATGGGCTAGGCAACAGATCATTTATTGAGAAAATCAAGACATATTTATAGATTTTTACCTACATCATTGTCAGCGGGGATGCAACGTCTCCTGATCGGTTGTTTTCTCTCTGAAAGTTATTCTGTTATCTCTTTGTGGCCGTTTCTTAGGAAGTCAAGACACATATCTGCGAATCGTATTTGCACGCGTTAAGTCTGCTGTGACTAGTTGGTAAGTTCCTTGAGGTTAAACTTTGTTACTGTTGTTTTCTCATGACTGCGATTCGAAGCGTAACATTGACGTAAATTGTTGTCTACAATTGTGGCTTGTAGACAACTCTCAGCAAATATACACAGAACATTCTAGAATTATTATTATTATATCCTTTAATTCCTAGAGGAACATAGGGCTTCAGCTGCACATCTCCATTGCCTTTGGTTTTCTGCCAACTTTTTCATCCCGCTCCAAGTCTGCCCACATGCTTTCATCTCCTCTTCACATGACCACCTCCAAGTCACCCTTGCACTGACGACCAACCCGTCGCTTCCCTTTCGGTTTCCACTCGAGTGATGGCCTGTCTAGTGATGTCACTTGATGGTTTCCTCAGAGTATGGCCAGCCGATCCACCTCCATTTCTTCCTGCCCATTTGTTTCACAATCAGTTCCTGGTTGGTTCACTCATTGCCAGAGATCCATTCCTGTTACTGATCTTTTCTGACCAGCCATCTGATCTTGAGTATTGAGCGAAGACAACTGTTAATGAAGGTCTGTAGTTTGTTTGAGATGCTCTTTGTGACGCGCCAAGTCTCTGAATCGTATATTAGGTAGCACTGACTTCACATTGGAGTTGAGATCCGGATCTTCTTTTTGATGCTGAGTGCTGGTGACCTCCACACAGACTCAAGAGTAATGAAAGCTTGTCTCGCTTTCTAGACTAGCAGTCATTAACAATATTTCATACATTTATTCCCCTTAATGAATTTGAATAAAGCAAGTACAACAAATTTTGTAGAATAAAATTTACATGTATTTGTCAGAGCAGTTACAAGGACGAAGAGAAAGAGGGACATTCCTACGGTTTTTTGAATACTTACCAAAAGTCTATGTCTTTAAGGGAACAAATGCTTTAAACAGTGCCATCACCAGGCATCTCCATGACATGGGTCATTAGGTGAACGTCGTAAGATCGTTCAAAATTATCAATAGGCAAACGAGTTCAATTATCCTCAAGTTTACCGAAGCAATCCACATCAAGCGCCTGAAACCCGATTGATGTATTCAGAAAAAAAAGCGGTTACCAGTCTTTTCTTACCCTGGCAGGCTGTCTTTCATCTGATTATGGATTTCGAAAGTTTCCATTATGTGTGATCATTATTGTTTATTATTACTATTATTATTATCACGGTATATACACATTGGGTCATAGGAGTTATTAAGAAGACAGTTGCAGCAAAGGAAATTTTCTTTTCAACGAAGTCATCATCATCTAGGCTGTACATTCGTGTATTTATATCAAATGGATGGGAAAATTCCAGAATAATTTCCGGTTAAGGGTCAAATTAATAAAAATTACAATTAGGAATTAAAATGCCATAATAAACAGAGGGCGAGACGGATAAAACTCAAACAAAGTAGCATCACAATTACTGAGAAGATTGACATTGATTGTGCAATCAGGGGTTAGGAATGTAGAAATAACAAACATAGTCAGGATGTTTGGATCAAAAAAATTTAGTAGGGTCATAACTGATGTGACGAATAAGTGTTGATGCAATCAGGGATTAAATATGTAGAGATAATAAAATGACAAAGGAGACAGGAAGTTTGGATATGAAAATATGGTAGTGTAAATAGGAGGGATTAAGAAAAACTTAAGAGAATAACATGAATAAACAGGAAGTTTAGATAAGAAAGCCGATGGGATGGCCATTACTAAGAGTAAAATTACCTGTTTATGATGGCCATGGCAGGGACAGGGGTTGGACGTGTTTCTTTTGGATACAAAGCGTGGGTTTGAGCTTTTGGATAGCTAATGCCTCGGTTGTGCATATATTCATTGATTGATTTTTCTTTAAAAATGAACTCTGTGCAAGTATGTTAAAGTTGTTTCTGTACATATATTTAATAATGACTTTGGCCAGTAAACAGTTAATGGGAAGCCACGAAGTAAATGATGGTACCATTTTATTCTACAAAAACTGCTGTTGTTCTTGCTTTATTCAAATTAACAATATTGTTATTTTTTTTAAATATTATCGATTTGTTAAGTAAGATTACCATGGAATTACAGTTGACTAAAGATGCATAAAATATAATAAGCATGAAAATGTAATAGCAAATAGAATATCAAATAAAATTCAGGAAATTTTCACAACAAATTGAGTATCATTAAAACCTTGATTGTGAAGGTAAGGGCAGCCTCTTTTGGATACATAAGCTAATTTTCTCAGTGAGGATCCCAACGGCCTTAGCAATATATAGTAGACTAACTCTTCAGGTGAAGTTAAGATTTTAGTTGGTCCAAACTTCTTCGGGGAGATATTTTTTATTACTTATTACATACCTAGTGGAAAGTAGGGCTTTAAGCTAGAGCTTTGAAGGTTCGGTAGCAGTGATGTTTGTTTATACAGGATGGGGTTACTGGCCTTATGCTCAACCTTCCCTCTTTACCAATCCTATTGCTGGATTAGCGAGGTAAGGGAGTGCGTCGGTGGCCGGGAATCGAACCCTGAACCACCTGCGTGGTTGGCTAGCATTCTGTCGCTGTGCCACTGACGTACACAAAGAGATTAGTCAAAACTAAAATAATATACTCTTGACCAGTCATTTGAATGATGAACGGATATCAAAACAAAGTGCATAAAATTGCATGGGCTGTGATCAAAATTTGATTTCAGACTTACTATTATTAGTCTGTGATTACATTCGACTGAAATTTGTGGTCACCATGGTGTGTGTGTACATATGTGCATGGGAAAACGATTGTAAATCATTTGCTAGCTTCTCCATAAGAAGAGACAAACATATATGATTGATTAGTGATACATATCCATTTTTATTT